GCCACATCCTGAACTCTTACTCACCTTCCTGCTCACAGGTACTCTGAACATACCCAGCTGCAGTCACGACAGCGCACCGTGCAGGAGGCCATTCAGGGCAAACTGACCGAACTGGACCAGTGGATCTCCCAGTACCAGGCAGCATTCTCCAGCCTGGAGGCCACACAGCTCGCCAGCCTGCTGCAGGACATCAGCAGTCCTATCGATCTTGGTCAGTGTCTGTGTAAATACTCTCCTCAGGTCTCTGAATATTGTGTATTTCAACATATTTCTGGGTGTTGTTTGGTATATTTTACTTTAATATATAAAATGAAAATAGGATGATTTGACATTTAGTTCTAAAACAGGGCAAAAACTTTATATAACCTCCATTTAAAACAATAACAACAATAAATAAGAAGGCATACTCGCCTTACCCAGGGTACTCAGTATGTCCCACCAGCTCAGTAGTGCGAGGCCGAGCAGGTTGTCGTAGCATGTTTACACAATAACTGCACAGCTCTTGAGTTGCTCCTGACCTGATTGGAGGGAGCCCGTTTTAATATGTAGTCAGCAGCCAATAGACTTGCATATGACACAGGAAGTCTGCGTGCACCTGGGGCTCCACCTGTGCGTCTTGGTGTGGACTCGCTCACCCAGTAGAAACAGACACAGGTTGTCTGAACGAACTCAATCAGTCCAGGTCAGGAAATCCCAGGAACGTGATTGTTTGCCTTCATGTGACGTTTTCAGAGGGAGGGGCATGTTTATACGACTCTGTTAAGGATTATTGAAGGTCTTGGAAGAGTGTTGTCTGTACAGTGAAGTTCTGCCTTTTGTCCTGCTGTTAGTGTTTCTGTAAATAGAGCAAAGGGAGGGAACGAGAACATCTGTGCTGTGGATGAGTGTCATGGCCCTTTATCCAATCAATGATTCTCCAAACTCACGTTTCAGGTTCACTCTGTCCGATGCTTTCTGTCTCTAGTGATGTCATCGAGCTGGAGGGTTAACTGTGTGCCCGCCTGTCAGGGTCAATGTTAATTATTGATGTGATATTGATGATTTATCCCTGCTTAACACTGCGATTAAACAGCACTGCTTGTGGTTCAGTTTTCAGTAAAAATGCATCGATTGTACTGAGCTGTCTTGTTCTCGGCTGTCCCCTCAGGCCCCCCCAGCTATGTGCCAGCTACAGCCTTCTTGCAAAATGCAGGTCAGGCCCACCTGATCAGCCAATGTGAGAGCCTGGAGGCGGAGGTGAGCACCCTGCTGCAGCAGCGCCGCGGAGCCCTCCGCAGCTCCCTGGAGCAGCTTCACAGCTACGCCACAGTGGCTTTGCTGTACCCACGGGCTACCCTGGTGTTCCACAGGGCCCACCAGTGGAAGGCCTGGTTGGAAGAGCTGCTGAGAGACATGACAGCAGATCACTGCCAGCACATCTACAGACAGTAAGGAGCCACGCATTTTCATTGGTTAACCCCAGGACTGTATGTGCTTAGCTGGTACCAGCCTTACTGGTGACCAGTCATGTTTGTGGTGAAGAAGCACCCCAGAGACCCACCGTCAGGTCCAAGTTACACACCTAAAAATATCACCTATGATAGTTCTCTTCACCTGAGTCACCTGCAGTTCATGAGACAGCAGCATGAATCACATGGTGATGTAACTCATGATACCAGCTAAATGTGTGTCTCTCTTTCCAGATACGAGCTGCTGTTTGCTCCACAACCTTCTGCTGCCTCCTGCCAGTTTCTCTCCAGTGTGGAATTGACTCTGCAGCACCAAGTGGCCGA